GGAAAAAGTATACAATCCTCTGACCATTTCTCTAACAGGTAAGCATGTTCTTTCCATTACGTGTTCCGTATGCCATATTGATCGTCCCAATATTGTAACTTTCCCATTATTACTAATTTGACATTGCTAATCTATTTTCTCTAACAACATGTATGAAACCCGACTTATCTAAATTTGCCTACTTACATTTTAACTTCAACCTTTAACCATAAGAGAACTGCTTAATTTGTATCTAAAATCTTTTGATTTTGTCATCTTGATATAAATATGAAATTTGTGTAAATAGTGAAGTTGATATCTTAATAGGAGCTTGGCCTAACTATTTTTGATATGTTCCTTTTCAATAATTTACGGGAACGACAAACAGTAATGTCCAGGCATTCAAAAGGAGATATGTGCAAGGAAGGAGTTGAAGAGCTGATGTTTCCAGGACAGATTGCAATTGCTAGAATACTTCTTTTCATTTGAATTTCTTTTGTTTATAACTTACTAGATCACCCCTTCAACCAAATCATTCATAACTTGAATAAGTTGCTTCATTGAAAATTGTGGCTTTTATGGTTGAAATAAGTTCGAACAATACTTTGTTTACCACAGGCTTACTATGTTGGGCCCGTGCTAAGCACGGGCCATGCCTTTCTAGCTTATTTAGAAGTGGAAGTAGGGAAGGACGAACAAGGGCAAATAGGTAATTCTAATATTAACTTTGGGATAATTCCTAATGTAAATAGTACATTATAATGGGCCCATCTGTCATAGATATATGACCTACTCTATTAACACGTGTATTGCTCTTTATTTCTCAAGAAACACGTGTGCTACTAATTGTGTTGTCTTTTTCATTGGAACATTTAACAAAAAACTTGTGTAAAGTGAGCTTATTGTTCTTCTTCTGGGAATGATTTCTACCGTCCCTTCAGTTTTAAATCCCTTTCCCACTGGTATTATACCTTTTCCTGCCAGTGTAGAACCTAGCAGATATCGATTAATCTAATTTTATGTTATTTTTATTTTGCCTTTAGGTCAATTTTTCATTGGATTGGTTTGAATTTTCTTTCAATTTTGTTGATTTCTTGGGTATTTAGGGTTGTTATACCGTTCCATGCACTACATTTTAGAGTTCATTGTAATTTGTAGCACTGGCCGTTTTTCTCCTTCTCCTCTCCGACTTGCCTATTTACAAATTTGTATTTAATATAATAATTTCTCCTATTCAGGTCTATTACTTCAAGGAGATAGGGGAGAATTGCAAGCATGAGATGCCGGAATGGAGCAGAAGCTTGAAATTCAAACAATCTATCAAATTTTTATATCGTTATACATCAGGTATACCGACCTCAATTTTTCCAAATCAAACCAAGAAAATATAGGTTCTCCCCTTTTTTATTTACCGACTATGAATTTCTGATTTGAGTAGAGATTGCAACACTAAATTCCTTATAGGGTGAGTTCACAATTTTGCGGTCTACATGAGTTACATTCTGCTACCACAACAATTAGTCTTCTAATTTTTCTTCAACACCCATACTTTTATCTAACTCTGTTGGAGGCTAATGGAGATTAAACAAACAACAAACTACCTTAAGTTGATGACATGATGGTTAACCTTAAAATACACATATCTCTTTTTCTGAAAATTGGCACGGACTAGCACGAATCAACAGGCAAGTTGGTAAATTATTTTTTGTCATTGATGTTATGATAAACAAAGTCGTGCTATCATATGAATGGATTGTTGGTGTTCTGTGGTAATAGGAAGTTCTACTTTAAAGTTTACAGGCTAGCTTCCTGGTACGTATGAATGACAAGACTCAAATTGGACATAGAAGACGGTTTCCATGTTCTAAGGTATGAAACTTACCTTTAATATGTCTCTCATTTTTCTTGATTTTGGTCTCTGCATTATTAGATAATATAATGTATCACATGAAAATTGACGAGGGTCATAAATGTCTAGCATGTATTGTTTGCATCAGACGGTTTTGGTTGAGCTTTAGTGGTGGAGTAGCAATTCTATTCTGAATTTATTGCCTTTAAACCTTCATGCTCTAGAGTACTGTAGATCAGGTGGACCTCAATAGGGATCTTCTCTTTTCCCGTGACACATTTCTGTTTTTGAGGCGATCTCTTTTTCTCAATCTGACCATTTATATCTACTGATTGTTGAACCCAAAAAAAAAACTTTAAAATATCTATTGATTGTGTTCGCCATGTCCAGTGGTTTAACATTTTTAAAGCTTCGCCTTTATGCATTCTAAGCTAACATACTATTATGTGTTAATTACTGCCACCATCTTAATGGTTTAGTGAGAGCATTCTTCGTTTTGCCTGCGTGCTTATCCCGATTTCTTGCATTTGTTTACTTTCTCACCATATTTTTGTTGCTACTTTTATTTTGGTCTCATGTTTTTCATATGCATTAGTTAGATCTGCTGGTTTATACTGATATGATATTGTAGCTTTCTTTGGATGAAGTTCATTATTTTGACAGTAGTTGATTTATATTTTCTGTTAGTAGAATTCAAATATATTACTAAGTTGCGTTGTAAATTGGCATTATGGAACTACTGAATTCTGGAACATATTTTCCTGCAGAAATATGCTTGCTCTTCAATACATATTTTAGGAATATACTAAAATATATGAGATACAAATTCATTACAAATACGTAAAACTCTACGCAAGAACATTAGCCAAATATCAATATTCATGTTTTTAGTAATAGGAATCTCTATATCTAGACAACAAGACACACTTCTCTGTTACGAGTACAGTTGTTTGGCTCTGCAATTAGTTTCAACAAACCTGCACATTAACTTAAGATGCTATCTTCCAATTGCTTAAATGTCTCTCAAATTAGTAGCTCTTGCCACTTGCTTACCCCAAAGAAAACCATTGTTGATGCACCACTTTGACAATGTAATAGGAGTGCAGCAAACGAAATCATTATCAAAGTTGGATAGGCTATAGGCAAGTTCTTAAGTAATTGAGTCTATTCTCCAGATTCGGGTCCCTTTGGAGGATGTGGAGTAGGCGGGGGAAGATGTAGCAACATTATATAAGGAAGAGCCTATAGGTGAAAACAAGATATTTCATAAGCTTAGTTTCTTTAATTATCTCACCAATACATTTGACTTATCATGTGACCAAGGAAAATATAGAAATTTTTCCTT